AAATCAGACAATGCACATAAATGATCATCACAAAATCATCATCCTCACCGCGCCTCTGCCAGCGCCGGCTGCGCCGCTACAATGCTCGCCAGGCGCGCGTACAGGTAGCACTCCACCGTCAGCCACGGCAGCCCCAGCCACCCGCCGCTCGCGCCCTCCCGCGCCGCCCTGCGCTGCCACGCCGCCACGCCCCCGTTGGTCCACTGCGCCACCTCCTGGAGGAACGCTGGGGACCCCGGCGGGGCGGAGATGGGCTGCAAAACCGCGTCCGCGGGCATCTCGGCCTGCAGCTGCCGCACGCCATCGGCGGCCGCGGCGATCTGGCGGAGGGAGTCCTCGGAATCCACGAAGCCTGGCGCCTTGGACAGCCGCTCGAGGTCCGACAGGACGGTGCCCATGATGGCGGGCAGCCGCTGCTTGATGGTGCCCTCCGCGAAGGACCCGGGCTCGGAGCCGGCGAGCGGCGGGTGCGGCGGGAAGGGAAGCTGCTCCAGGGCTGCGGAGTCCGCAGAGGCACCAATGGTGGTGGCGGCGGGCGCGCCGCCGCCGCGGGCTGCCATGCCTTTCGGCCCGCGCTGTGCAACGAAATTGGGACAGTGCACCAGGTCAGCACGGGGTGCGTCGGTAAAGCGGTGATCGGCGCAGCAACAGAATGTGCGTCGCAGGGCACACCCAGCGCACCTTGAAGAGCGCCGAGCCTCCTCTGCTGGATGCAGAGCCCACTTGGTTCCCGCTCTTGACCCTACAAAGATCAGTTTGTTGGATTCGGGTGGACAATGGGCTTGCCCACAGACGATCTCTGCTTTTGCTGAAGTTACAGCGCCCACCTCCAGCCACCAGCGAAGCTTCTGGCACGCGTCTGCATCGTCTATATGCCAACACACGCTCCCTTATTCTGCGTTGTTGTAACACGGATGCTGCTTGGTGTGTTCCTCTTTGCACGATGCGTGTTGGAGCGCTGCGGGCACGACAACGGGTGATTTGGGCACAACTAATTTCCCAGACCGCCCGCAGGAAGCAATGGCGCAGCAGCGGCGGCGTCGCTTCCCTTGACCGAGGCGCGGACCACGGTGCTGCCTGCAGTGTTTGAATGCATGTCAAGCGCAGGCGTCCGAAGCAGCACTAACACCAGCGCGTTGTTCGTCACGACAATGCGCCCATGAGCGCCTGGTAGGCCGCATGCACCTCCTTGAAGCGGGCCTCCGCCGCTGCGCGGTCCGCGGGCGCCGCCTTGTCCGGGTGTGTCGTGGCCGCCAGGCGCTTGTATGCCCGCCGCACCTCCTGCACGCTGGGAAGCTGCCACCCCGCCTCCAGCAGCTGCCGCCGCTGCTGCCGCTGCTCCGCGCTCGGCTCAGAAATCGTCACTGCTGCGAGCCCGAGCACACACATGTGTTGCAAAAGGCCGCCCTCGGCGCCGCCCCCACCGCTGCCGCACCCGCCGCCGCTGGCCCCGCCCCTCCGTGCATGCTCATACCCGCCGCCGCCGCCGCCGCCGGCCGCGGCGCCAGCCGCGAACGCAGCCTCCACGGGCGCCTGCCTGGCGCGGGCGCGGCGGCATGCGCCCGCGACGCGCTGCAGTGCCTCTAACAGGCCGGGCCTGGGGCCATTGGCCTGACCCATGCGCTGCAGGGCATGCAAGTCAAGGAATGCGGCCTGGAAGCTGCCCAGGCGCTCTAGCAGGTGGGCGCGCCGCCAGAGCGCCTCGGCGTGGGCCGGCTGCTGCTGCAGCAGCGAGTCGAGCGCCTGTTGCGGGTGCAGGTGGGTGTGGGATGCAGGTGGTGCCTTGCATGTACTGTATATGATCGTGCATGTTGAGTTGGATTTGCCTGAATCGAGGACACACATACATACAAGCTGCACTCCGTGAAGTTGATTCCATTGCCGGCCCGAGGGCAGTGCTAGGGACAAGGGGCGGGGCCAACCGACCTGGACGGCCGCCTCGTCCTCTCCTAGGGCGGCGTGCGCTTCTGCCTGCGCCAGCAAGGCTCCGCAGCCCAGGGGGGCGTGCACGTGCGGCGCATGCGCGCGTTGCGCCCAGGGGTCCATGCCCTCTGCCAGGCCTCGTACAGGCTGATTGTTTGCGCCCGCTTGTCGAACCGAGTGAGGTGCTGACGCGTGCTGTCACTACTGTATGTATACCGTATTTGGTTGCTTTTTTCTCGTTTGCAGGCTCGCTACGCTCAGCCTGCGAGCGTTCGATCGTACGAGGCGCGATCCGTTGGCGCAAACCGGTTGCCTGGCCTTGCATGCAGGAGAAATTCAGCACGATGACCTGATTCAGTAAGCAAAAAGAGGTCCAAGACGCCCTTGATCAGCTCTAGAACCTCTGCTGCCTTGTCCGGGCTGATGCGCACTGTCGTCGCTGCACCTCACCTGCTGGTCATGAGCTTCAACTGCCAACTGCGGCTTATCCCGAGACGAGAAACAATTTCAGGCGATTGGCTCTGCTATTGGTATTTAGAATGCACAGCACGCTCCTGGATGTGAAGAGGTCAATCGCGGTCAAACAGAACCGTCAGAAAAACCTGGGGTGTTACTACAATACATGTCCTAGTGATTGGTAGGTATGATGCGCCCTGAAAACACCAGCATTAGGTACTTTCACAGTGTAGCTCGGGCCCACTTCCGCAGCGGGTTTGAGATGGGCGCTTTGAAACCTCCGCGGCCAAGATATGGCAGTCTTGACCTCTGAGACGCACCTAGGGGCACACTTCTACTCAATGATTTGTGTCAATAAAATGCGCGCAAAAGGTGGGATGCTCTGAGGAAGCATGCTCATGTCTGTGCGTGCAGGAAGATCAAGCACAGACAGGGCAGCAGCAGCCCGTCGTATCTGCACAAAAAAGTTGTACTGGGATGATGGGACAGCCATCTTGAATCTGCCGCCGGCTGTGAGGGAAGGTGGGCTAACAATGGGGCGCACGGTGCTGTGCTGATGCATGGGAGATGGCACCCGCGTCAGGCCGTTGCAGTGCAGTATCGAAAGTCGCAGTCCCTGTCACCAAGAAAAGTTTGGTTATAAGGCGGTGCTGCCGATGGCAGCAAAAAGTCAGGTGCGACCAGTGGCAGGCGGCGGCTGGTGGCAGCGGCGAAAGAGGGCGGGCGTGGCAGGCCAGGGGCAGAAGGCCGCGGCGCTCAGCCTCAGCCAGCATTACTTGGATCCAGTGATGCTAAGATTGGCTTCGTTGGGGAGGTCTGATCAGATCCCAGAACGGGCGCCCAGACCTCCACACAGGGGCCAAAACCGGGCCCCTCCAGCGGAGAGAGTCCCCACCCCAAAGAGCAAAAGGCGTCGCTCGTGGGGGCGGGCCCGCCCGCGCGTCAACCCAGGCGGGGGATGACGACGAGGGCCGCAGAGCCCATGGGCATGTAGATCCGCCACGCCAGCTTGCCCTCGCTCGTGCCCCGCTTCACGTGCTCTGTCACGTTGCTGCCGCCCCTCACGCCGCCGATGCCGTACGTAATGCCGCCATAGCTGATCTCCGGACCCCGTGACTCGAGCGGCCGCTCCAGGCTCGAAACCAGGCGCGTCACGGTCGCGCCCCCGTAGCCGCTGTTTTTGGAGACCCTCAAGATCACGTCCACCGCGTCCAGCGGCCGCTTGTTGATGACAACGACGCGCAGCTCCTTCTCTGGCTCGCCCCAGAGCGGCCACACCTTGATGCCGTCGACCTCGCCCCACGCCACGCGGTTCGGCAGCATGGTGCTGTTGCCGCGGACGGCCTGCTTGAAGAGCACGAAGGCGTAGAAGGGCGGCCGGATGAAGACGGGCGCGAGGCGGTCGTTGTCGTACCAGCGGACAATGGCGGTGTAGAGGTTCTGCCCGGCGCCCTGCGCGGGGGTTGTCAAGAGGCGGTCGAGGGACGTGCGGGGTTGGGGGAGGATGTTGGCGGCGGCGGGAATTCGATCTGCAGATCGCTCATGAGGGCTGTCCCGAGCAGGTGTGAGGGTTGCCGGCGGCAAGAGAACGGAGAGGACCAGAGGGGGGCGGCGCGCGAGGGGCGTTGTGCCGAGAGGGGCGAGCGGACAGGGGCGGGCAGGCGGCCGCGCTCGCGCTTAGATATGGTGCAGCGTCACAAGGGCTTTGCTTTTGAGCCACCAATTTCTACCCATGCGAGCAGCACCTGCCGCGTGCCTGGATCCAACCACGTCACTGCCCTCATATCACCCATCAAGCACACCCCTAAAACACGCACGTGATTAGCAAGCACTACCGCGCAGCACACCTGGTGGAGGTTCACACCGACTGCGCCCGTGGCTGCGACCTCGAAGCTGCCGTCCAGCGTCCATAGGGCCGCGGCGAAGACGTTGCTGACGCCGTCGCGGCCGCTGTTGCTGATCGTGTTCATCTCTGCCACGCGCAGCGGCTTGCCCCACGAGTTGCTGACCTGCAGAGTGCGGGGGCGGCGACGTGTGGCCCGTGGCAGTCAGCCCAGAAAAGCTCAGAAGTATTGCGCGGTTGGGGCATGCAGAAAGGAGGTAGTAGACATGCTCTGCCAGCCAGGCAGCGCGACCCAGCTGCTGGCCCTGCCGCTGCTCACAGCACGGCAGCAGGCGCGAGCCTGGTGTGCGCGCGGAGCAGCAAACACACCAGCTGGCGTGCTCAGCCGCACGAGGGACATCCCGGCCGGATGTTAAAGCCAAAGCGCCGCATGCAGCAGCAGGCTCAGGGCCCCGTCCCCTGGCTGCAGCGGCTGGTTTTCATAGACCTCCCGCTGCTGCAAGCGCGGGCCCCTGCCACCCCACGCGCGGTATTGACCCAGCCACCCAGCCGGCCGCGCGAGACCGATGCGTATCGCCGTCGCCCCCATACTCATTCCCTGAGTTGCACGGGTGCTGCCGTGCACCCCGGCGGCCCTCAGCCCCGAGGCGTCATCCCACCAGCCTCCTCCTTTGCATCAAAAACCTCTGTCAACAGCAGGGCTGTCAAACAACATGAGCCGCCCCACCCTCCAGAAAAGGTGCGCACGCTTAGCTGCAGCCAGATGCTCCACTCCCCTCAAACCTACGCCCTCGCGTGCACTCAGCCGCCCGCTGCACTCCCTGCACGAATGCCTCCCCACGCAGACACATCCGCGTCAGGACCCCACACTCATTTCTACCCACCCACCAACCCAC